GTGTTCTGTCGGGTTCTTTGAGCTTGCCCACTGTTCACTGCGTCGGGAGCCGTTATCCATGTTACTATGATAGCGACTTGAACCCTGTTTGGGCACAAGTGAACCAGTGCTGATCTCGTCTTCTCGCCGATAGGTTTTCTCTCAGACTCTCCGCCGTGCCGCCGCCCAGAGCGCCGGTGCCTACCGCTCCCCTTTCGCTCCCAAGTGAGAACCCCCGATATCCCATCTTCGGTCGACATACGGAATAAACAAGGTGTTCATGCTGGCTTGGGTTGGGTCGATGAGGCAGGGACCCTGCTGCTAGCTCTGGGTACTGCGGGTTGCCTTTGGCAAAACTATCCATACTGCTGCCATACCCTCCCTGCCTCTGACGAGATTACAAGATCCAGCTAGAGAGACACCAATCCAGCCGGGACTGCAAGTGGTATATGGAAGCGACGCACTGACTGTGTGGAATAGGTACCACACTCCCCTTCACTTCCACGGCCTCACCACCGGCCTGGCTACTAAGTAGTAAGTTCCTCCTTAGGTTCCAAGTCTACCCCTCGTCTTTGGCTTCCTGGCAGGCCAGCTTACACGTTGGGCACATCTAGCGCTACCATTGCTGGCACCTTCGGTGTTGCCGCCGGTACCTTCGCTCTCTTCTTCTTCGGCGAGATCCCCCGTGTTCGCCGCGACATCCTCCAGAAGGTTCCTTTCCTCGATGAGTACTTCGACCGCACGATCGCTCCCGAGGACAACGTAAGTGCCTTTCCCTCATACCGCTCCAGCGGCACCAGCAACTGGGATTGAGAGCTATGCTAACAACCGTCTAGCCCTTCTAAATTGGTGCCGTATGGGATATGCTTTTCCGACCATCTATAAGAACCCACCCAGCGTGGATATGCTACCTAGCGGATCGATGGTGAAGAGAAGAGGGTGCTGTACGTGTAGAATAGCGATGAGTTTCTGATAGCACATAGACACTGGCTGCTTCATTCATTTTTCCAGTAACATTAAGACGCACTGTTTGTCTGTGTCTACATCAGACTGCCAATGGCTCTCCAGGGGCACACGCATGCCTTGTAGCCTCAGGTTCCGAACATAGCTCCCGCCCCAGGCACATTAGGCTTCTTCCTTTACTCCTCCCCCCAACCACAGCCTTGATATTTACGTCTACACATGCACAATTTTGGGCCTATGGTCTGAGTTTAAACGTTAGCCTCAAGACTTCCGTCACTGGACCACTCAGGGCTAGTCATTCTATCTCTGGCGCCGGACTACAGGAACGCATTACAGGACCGTTCGAGTGCTGCGCAGCGCAGTCTCAGGTCGACTATCGCTGATAATCGAATAGTCACAATTTCAGTCCCTCAAGCCACCATGGACCTTCGCGAAAATGTATGAACTATGTGGCTTGAAAGGATTTGGAGGCTGCCATTCGCGAAAACTCCCTGGATGAAAGACCAGTGAGGAGACTGGTATCAAATGCAAGGTAATAGTGGCTCCCATGGTGTCCATGCAAGTTGTATGCGGGGGCTGTTACAGGAGTCTATGCTTCGTCTAGGGACCACCGACTAACACGCACTATGTAGACACACTATAGCTACGGTGAGACGCTGAAAATGAACGAAATTAACCCCGCTACTCTCATAAAGGCAGGTATAGCCTGCCAAATCAGCGGAGAGCGACTCGTTCAATACCAGCCAATTGTTTCTTACATTGACAGGTCATAAATTCAGCCAGCTCCAGATGCTGCCGTCCGTCTTATCATCGACCCGTTAGAAACACTTTGATATTCGTTCGATGCTTATCATCCGGCAGTCAAAGCACCCAATAGCCAACCAGTTGCTTCCGATAAGCCCGAGTGGATGGATTCCCCAGCTTCTGGGTCATTGCTTTAGCGTCAAGTTCAAGGGGTTCTCCGAGTTTTTGTCTTTGCTCGCGGCGCCTGAAGTTTCCCAGCCAAGTATGGTGCATGCCAAGCTTCAGGTCTCTGACCAGCAAGGAGCTGCATCCTATCTCGCCTCGTCTTTAGCGAGTCATCCTACTCGTTCCTGCTGGTTGACTGCGAGTGATGGTCTTTCCTTCCGGTCATCCAGTGAGATCGTGACCAGCTGCCAAGCGTATCAGCGCTCGATCCCCGCTTCGCTTGCACCCAGCTTCAGAGGTACCTGAGCTCCTTAAGGCGTTTATCGTGTTACGCCAGCATTCCACCTATCTTACTCAAGGCTTTGGCTATCAGTGTTAAGACTTTGCAGGACGGGACGTGTCTTGTGCAGATAAGATGGCAGTCTTGATTTTCCGAAAGCCACTCATATATGTACTGGCGCATGACCCTGTCTGTCCCGCAGCCACTCTATGACTTATTTTCTAATCACCTGTGTCTTCCATACTCATACTGCTTAACATTTGTCTGAGAAGAACAAATGAAAGTTTGGATCTGAGCTAGCAAACGCCGCATCTTTGCGTTGCTTGCTTTTTCTTCCGTCCACGTTACTTCCTGCCCCGCCGTTCCCACTCCCCAGCAGCAGCTTACTGTATACACATCACCTCTTTTTATATAAATGATTCATCCATAATGTCTGGTACGAGCAGCCATAAGGCTGTCTCCAAGGGAGCAGTGTTCGCGGATGTCGACCATGACCCCGTCACGACCATTCTGCCTCAGGGCGACGTCCCTTATACCGATCATGCGATGGATGCGGACGAGAGGGTCATCGTGGCCCTGGGGTACAAGCAAGAATTCAAGCGCGAATTCTCGCTATGGACAACCTTCTGTGTCAGCTTCTCGGTGCTAGGATTGCTTCCATCATTTGCAAGCACGATATACTACGGTAGCTGTTCCTGGATCCATCAATATGATGGGTAGGGCTGACTTTCACAAGGAATGGGCTATGCAGGTACAGCTGGTATGGTCTGGGGCTGGATCATCGCGATGGTTTTCATTCAATGCGTTGCCATGTCCATGGCTGAGCTATGTTCCGCGATGCCCACCAGGTAAGATTCTCCTGAGTTGCGTACTATAGGAGTATAAAACTGATTTTGACAGTGGTGGCCTTTACTACGCCGCAGCGGTCCTTGCGCCTCCAAAGTATGGACCTTTTGCCGCTTGGATCACAGGATGGTCGAACTGGATTGGGCAGATCACCGCAGCACCATCTGTGGATTACGCGCTTTCTGCGATGATCCTCGCCGCTGCGTCGATACAGAACCCAGACTATGTTCCCACTAACTGGCAAATTTATCTTCTAACAGTGCTCGTTCTCATAATCCATACGGCCATCAGCAGCATGCCCACTATATGGGTGGCTCGAGTCAATTCCTGGGGCTCAACATTCAACATCATCGCCCTGGTCATTACTCTCATCGCCATCCCTGCTGGGACTACGAATGAGCCCAAGTTTTCCTCGTCCAAGGACGTCTGGGGCACCATCACCAACCTCACCGACTTTCCCGATGGTGTTGCCGTTCTGATGACTTTTGTCGGGGTCATTTGGACCATGTCTGGCTACGACTCGCCCTTCCATCTAAGCGAGGAATGCTCCAATGCCAATGTCGCCTCGCCGCGTGCGATCGTAATGACCTCAGGGGCTGGTGGCTTAATGGGATGGTTCTTGCAGTTAGTCGTCGCTTACACTGTCACCGACATTGATGGAGTCATAAACTCGGACTTGGGCCAGCCCTGGGCCTCGTACTTGCTCCAGGTCGTGCCACGCAAGACTGCCCTGGCCATCTTAGCCCTCACCATTATCAGCGGTTTCTCCATGGGCCAAGGCTGCATGGTGGCTGCCTCACGAGTAACCTACGCCTACGCACGAGATGACTGCTTCCCTTTATCCAAATACTGGAAAATGGTCAACACGCGCACCCAAACCCCGGTCAATGCGGTGATCCTCAATGGCGTCCTGGGAATTCTCATGTGTCTGCTGGTTCTAGCCGGCGATGTAGCCATCGGGGCGTTGTTCTCTATTGGCGGCATCGCTCAGTTTGTCGCTTTTGCCATTCCCATCGCGATTCGGGTGTTCTTCGTTGGTCACCGGTTCCGTAAAGGTCCGTGGCATCTGGGCCCCTTTGGGCCCTGGATTGGAGGGATGGGTGTGGCGTTTGTGCTTCTCATGGTGCCCGTGCTGTGTCTGCCCAGTGTCACGGGTTCTGATCTGACACCGGATCTGATGAATTGGACGTGTCTGGTCTGGGGAGCGCCAATGCTGGGGGTGACTATCTGGTGGGTTGTGGATGCGCACAAGTGGTTCACGGGACCAAAGGTCAATGTGGAGCACGCAATCCATGCTGCGGATGCGGCTGTTATAGATGGCGTGGGAGCAGATGAAGACGTAGTGCAAGATGATGCGTCGAGCAAGGCATCTGCGAGGTAGTTGCCTCACTACACTGTTCAGGTTACGTTCGTTCTAATGTTTGGCTACAGTCGTCCACAGACGCCGCATACAGTCTTGTAAATAATTCGGCATTGCGTCAATATACTGCTATTGAAATTAGTATTATGTCTCTGATCTCGTACGATCGAACGTATCCCAGTCGAAACAGTTACCCATTATTTTGGTAAGAGCATTACGTCGGCAGAGACAGAAACTTTCCTTGCACTACTCCCTTGAGTAAAGGTTGTTGTTGTTTGTGGTGCAATGGGAGAAGATCGTTGTTCATCATCAGCAACCAATTCTCTTCTCCACAGCGAGGATCCACCCGCATTTAGGCCATAGAAGCCTCATATAGAATTCAGCCCTATTTATGGACCCTATCAGGGAACTAGTTTGGTTTCCGTGAGGATCTCCAGATATTTGCGGTTGTTACCATAGTCTATACAGTCTACGAAACAAGGAGCAGGGAAATGCCGACAACTCTTCGACAGAGCAATATAGCTTCAAGTATTTATACCTCAATAGTTATATCCCACATCCAACATGGCATCTCGAGACTCTCGCTTCTAGGCTACTTCTCGCTATCTATAGACTCACCATGTCACGCCTCTTACTATTCACATCTCGCAAACTCCTCAACACCTTCATCTATACCGCAAGAAACGATCCACTACTCGCCAACGCCCATGGACTCTTCCAAGAGAGTCCTACCGAACCGCCCCAAAATGTGCTAGAATTGACCTTGACCATTCTAGGAATGTCCCTCAACTTCATAGTAAGAAACCCAATCCCCGCCCCTCGAAGACGAGCACAACCTAACAAGTGCCCATCACCATCATCTAGATTCGCTACATCATCGGCAACCTCGTAATGTCCCTCCTCATCCTCGAGACCATCGATAGCAACCCTCCCAACCCCAATAAGGACAAGGACAAGGACGACAACACGAAATCACAACCAAAGCCTACTACCACCACCCGCAACCTTCTCCAAACCCTCACCACCCTCCACCGCGAAAAAGGACTTATATCCCTCATCAACGGCTTCCATTACACCATCTACTACAACCTGAGATACTTCATAGTAACAGGTATGCTCACATCGCCTATCGCACGCTTCCCTGAGCCTCTCACACACATCATCGCCTCCGTCGCTCTCGCCGAATTCCATTTCTTCCGGACAGCAGGAGCTATCCTCCCTCCGGCTGAGCAGATGCGCTACGTGCCTCTTGGTCTCGATTATTATCGGTGGAATGCTCTTCTCCTGCCGACGCTACTTTATGCCATTGCTGAGTCGATCATGATGTATGTGCCGGGATTACTTCTTGCTCCGGTTCGATTCGATGGTGTGCTGCTGCAGCCGGAGGACTTGACGGATGTGACTTCCCTCGTGAGATCTGATGTTCTTGTCGCGGGACTTATGCTCGTTGCTCAGGTTCTGGTTTTGTTCCCGGCGTATGTTGTGCTTGTTGTGGTGGAGGGGAGCTTGGTGCCGGGGGATTGTGAGACGTTGATATCTATGCCGGAGGAGGAGGGTGAGAAGATCGGGGATGGTGATGACCAGATAGTGTTGTGGAAGGAGGAGGAGGAGGATGAGGAGTACCCAAAGCAGCAAGGCAGGCTCATCAAAGACCTCTTCAGGTTACCAGGACCGTTGCATGTGCTTGATGTGGTGGAGATGATTAGTGTGAGACAGTTGCTGTATTGCTTGGAGTTGCATGGGAAGATGTGTTTGTGTGTGGTGGGGGTTGCTACGGTGGTGCAGTCGGTGGAGTATTTGGTGTCGTAGGGTTGATTCTGCTAGTCCGGGTTGTCTTTGACCTATCTAGTTGATGTTGGCAAGTTCTGGTGTTGGGTTGCTTTTTGACATTGAATTCGCGAACAACACGCCCTTTTTCCCCAGATGTGAGAGACGTCAAAGACACGGCAGTATTACGATCTCGTGAGGGGGGCAAGAGGGTACAAAAAGAAGGAGAGTGGTTGAGGGTAGACACATTGCTGATAGATGGTATTATGCAGTAGAATAGGAATGCAGCAGGGAATTTCTTTCCCTTGACCGCGAATCTATGATATTTTGACCTTCCTAGATATTGGCTATCATTACTGTGGTGATTTATAAGAACATGCGTTTGCTCTTTCGTATAATAAGACTAGACAGTTCTCGTGGTTTCCCCTCTCTCTTTATCATCAACCATATCTGCAGTACTTTCTATACCCGACCAATCAGTTGAGAAACAGCAGTAGTAGTAGGTAATAAAAATCCCAAATTATATCATTAGAGTGATTTATCTATAGGACTAGTGGTAGAAGTGTTGCAGAGCTTTCAGCGGCGTCTAATGATGGTGCTACGAATATACTATGTCGCTACTAGGCCCTAAGAAAATCAGTATGAACCACATCAAGAGTAATAGGGATAGATCCTAAGTCCCTTTTGATCGAATAATGCAATATAGAAACAATTCTCCCGAGAAATGTCTCAATTGTATACTACTATGAGTACTACCAGTAATTTAATTGCAGTGTGTATATCATCGATAGTATTGAGGTGAAACCCACTCAACCCAAACATACTATATATAACTACTTAGTACTACGAACCACCACCATCCAATGAATCCAGCAGACTTCAGTTTAGAACCACTCATTCCATTTATCATCTTAACCATAATAATTTAACATCACTATGCCATTCAAAATCATCCTTCCCAAAACAATCACTCAACCGTGGTATCCAAGTATTTACCCCCCATAGTATCTATCTACTCCGTAGTCACACCACACAACGCCATACCACACTTAGCAACAGCACCACTTAACCTAAGTTATACTCCATCAGCAAGCATAATCCCTACTGTACTACCTACTTACTTACCCGATCCACACACACACACACATACACACGCCAGCCGCGCGACCACAAAACCCCATCCATTCATCCATCCGTCCATCTCCACTACTCCTCCCCTCCCCCGATCGAACGAATGACTTCCCTTCCCGTCTTTCTCTCTTGCCCTGCAACCTTTGACGCGGGATTTCGCGGGCGTGCGGGCCAGAGGGTCATTAAATTTCCTGCAGGTACGCAGGTTGCAGTAGTATGTGTCTAGATTGTCTATCTAGTATGTACGGAGTGGATGGATGGATAGGTAGTGGGTAGTAGGGCTGGGATGTATCCATTATGTTTATCTTTCTATCTATTTATCTATCTGTCTGTCTAGTCAAGTCTATGTATCTATTCAATGTGTTTCACTACATGGTGGTTTGTATGTAGTTTCATAGTAGACTGGCTTGGTTGGTTGGTATTTATTTAGGTAGGTAGGTAGTAAGTAGTAGTTGATAGCCCATGATATTTTTTTTTTTTTATCATATTAATTAATTATATGTTGTTTTCTATACGTAGATGATAGTCTTCACCGACTTTTTACAACTTATTTTCGAGAGCTACTATGAAGTAGGCAAGTAGTTGCCTATCGTATCGGCAAAATGTCCCAGTGGAGTGTAAAATTACTGCCGACAAATTTTGTCGAGCATTCTTGGGTCAAATCATTTTACTTCGTAATTCTTCAGCAGGTTGGCTGGTATGCTCTTCCGTCGGATGTGAACCCGTGTTGGGATGGAACTTGCATTGACTATATGGTGTAGCTTGTAACTTTATCTTTGCTTGAGACCCAAAGTCAGCGCCGAGAGAGAAAAGGAAGAGCACGAGTGGTAACTCCGTAGTTAGTAGGTAAAATTGAGTAGCGGGCTGAGGTGGGTTTGGGCTGGGGGGGAAATTGATTGACAGGGGGAAGAAGGAAGAGAGGGGAGGTTGGTGGTGCTTGGCAATGAGTGTCCGTTATTCCGGTGTCCCGCCTGAGGCAGGCCCTCCAACTCGCTAGTTGGTTAGTGGGTTAGTTGGTTGATTGCCTGGGGCTGACCCTCTTGTTGCGGTATTATTTTGCTTTTTGCATTATCAGCTCTTGTGCCTCGGCAGCCGATGATGATGATATTCTTGTCTGCTGCTGCTGCTGTTGCTAGCGGGTTAACCGTGGTGGTAATCATATAATGACAGAATTAATGCTATAATAATAATAATCGACATCTAAAGGAAGGATAAAATCAGCTTACCTCTCATTTTTTACCGTTTCTTTCCTGTCTCAGACCGTGGAAGATGCCTATTGGGGAAAGTCATAACAATCCTTTTCCAGCCTAGGAAGAAATTATAATCTGCCATATAGACTAGGCAGATAAACCTGGCTGTCTCACAATGAAATCCCAGTCCGCGTGGCTGCTTGTCGGCCTGTCGCCGGTGGCAAAAGTCTTATACACGACAACAGACGAGCGGGACGGACTCGCCTTGCTAGCCCATACGGGGGTGGGAGAGGCCATCGAGTAGATCATGGATACCTCAACTCCAGGTTCTCCCCCTTTCCCCTCAGCGTCCCCTCCTCCTACTCCTCCTTTCCCTTAGTTTCTCCTCCATGCTCCGTAGTGCGGACATACCCCTGCAGCTTTAGTGAGAGGGGGTTCGTCGTTTATCTGATCACGCCTCAGGCAGCCACATACTCTATCTGAAATGAAAGTTGTATGGTGTCTCCGGTGACGGCGTTACGCTCAACGAACTCTAATCCTACCAATCAGGCCATTCTCACCATAGCCACCCGGATTGCACTCCGGCTGCCCTGGTAGCATTTGATACGGTTGAACATATCACACTCGCCGGATCATACATGCGCGTCAAACCAGTCGGAAACATCATGACGCGGCCCTGGTAGATACATCCCGTATCCCAAGGATCCGCCATCGTATCATTCAGAGACCTCAACAGGGACCATGCGGTTTTGTTGCCATGGCCCATAGTCGGATCCAAGACCATGGTTCGATGGCTACCTTCGGATCGACGACCAGTGTCAGTGCCGCCCATGTCCGACTGGGTACATTGCTCGATCGAACGAGTCCTTCCCCCCAGTTATGCATGACCCTAGTCCGGGTGGCTGGCGAATAGATAGAGCAACTGTTGCAAGCGCCAACGATGCCCGTCAAGTGTGGGATAGCCTGTAGCTGCAATAACATCCCAATTAACTAATTACTAGCTGCGCTTACACTCCTGCCAACTCGGGCAGTAGTATGCTTGTGATCTTGTACGTTGATAGCCATTGTTCTGTGTGGTCCCAATTTTCAGACATAAGCGAGCCGGTGTAGATGTCTCGAAGGATGTGTAGTATCTACCCAGCCACCGACTGGGTAACTAGAGATGTATCTGATCGAATAGGAAAAAAAGTAATGATGGCGGCGGCAGCAGAAGCGACAGCACTCCGGGCGGGAGAGCGGGAGGGAGGACGAGCGGGCTGGCTGGCTGACTCGCAACGTCAGACACATGACCATGATTACCTCACCCATGCGATCCAGATCAAGCGCTAACTGCTCTGTACACTCCCCGTCAGAGTAAGTTACTTTGTCACTAACTCAAACAGGCGAGCGATGAGGGGAGAGGGGAAAAGCCTAAGCAGCTCAGGCTCAGGCCACACAGCACACAATACACACACCGAACAACAACCAACAAAATGTGCATCGCAAGAGCGTCCGGTCCGCTTGGCATCAAGTGGAATGAGGTGAGTGGCGTTCTCGCCTCGCTCAACATTTTCGCTGTGATTGGATCGCACGCGAGGTCTGAAACTGAGCCGATCCAGACTTGAGCTTCGGCATTACTCCGGTCATGCCCGGAAAAACCACCCTGGCAGGGTAAAAGTGCCGAGGAAGTATCCGGCCGACTCTGAGCGTCCCGGATTCGGCGGGAAGATCTGCATGCGGTCGTTTTGAGTTCTTTTCTGCTCTGTAGGACCCGTAGGGATGCTTTTCGTCGAGGGGCTAAGGACTTTAGCGCTGCTGAACTAGTCCACGTACGGAGTTTAGTGGCATTATATCACTATTATGTTATTATCATGGCGCCTGTTGGTTTTCATTGTTCAGAGATTGGACTCGGACCAGCCACGCTGCGCGCTTGTGCCTGCTTATCCCTGCCACGTAGATAGTAGGGAGTACACGGTAGAGATTCTATCGATCTGTTGTGGTAAATGTACTTTCGGGCCTGCACACAGTCCTTTTGTTAAGGGCGGTGGTGTCCGTAGTATCTATATATGGAACTCGACGCAATTTGATGTAGGTACGTGTCGGTACGAAGTAGTAATCGACATCACATATACTAGGCGCTTGGCTACTATTGCAGCCGGGTAGAACTCCGTACCCAGTAGCAGTGAATACCAAGCCCGAATAGTCCTTTCGTGCCTGACACAGTATGGTGGGCGGAGAATGGCGGACAGCATTATGCCTACCTACTCTGTACTCCCTGGTCCAACTAGTCCGCAAGTGTCTCACAAGCGAGGCCAAGCTTTAGGACGATAGCAGACTGGCGGCGATCGGTCGGACAATTTCTCGTTGAGCCATGCCGTTAAGCACCTGGTTTAACCTCTGGCTATGCGCTGCCTAAGGACCAACAGCGTCTAGTGCGCCTTCTCTCGTACGACAAACCAGTGTGTGGACTGGGTCTTTCTCGAGATCTCCCACACCGCCTTGCTTGGTGTCTCCGTAGAAGTTTCCATGAGCGGGCCATCGGCTTCGTTGGTGGAGTCCGGTGGCCGTGATCGGACCGCCACATTGGGCGAGGTGCAGGGTAGTACCGGGAGGCTACCACTGGATGCATCATGTTGGTCTTACCGTGTCCGGGAAGGCGTCTCGCAGTGGTGCTGACCGGCGTGAGAACTGCGGGCGCCTGTTCCTTGGAACGCCAGCGTAAGTGGCAAGTCGGGCGAGATGTTGCAGAACCATCATCCACCGGCTTAAGAGCAAGCGCTAGTCTAGCTGATTATTATTTGAGGTTGAGCGATATATCCGGTCGCTAAGGCGAGGATGGGGACCGACAACACCTAACGATATGACAGACAAATAATGAATTTAGTATATGGGGGAGATACCAGGTTAGCTGTGCGAATTCCATCCAGCCGAGCGCAGATTGCAAGATTACTCAAGTTTTCGTTCCGCACACATTAGTAATAATAATACCGGGTTGGTAAGATAGTCGGTAGGTATTGGATGGTACGGGGGGTGTATGACGGCATGTTTCCTTCACGCTCCCGTAGTGCTCCGTGGCCACGAGCGCGAGGCACTCATCCGAATGTAGTTAATGTTATCCCTCTTGAGAAAGAAAGAAGGCAAAATAGGCTTCCGCATTTGCAAGCTGACGGAACTCTCCTCCGCGCAATTCCGCCATGCATCGTCAATTTCGCTTTTCACAGTACGACTCCATACTGGACTGCGTACTGCAGTAAGCCTCTTCTGAGTTTATGAATCGCTGCATGCTGTGTGACCCCTGCCGGGTGGTCAGATCAGATAGCTCCGGATATAATACGGAGAAGCAAGTGCAGCGATTCCACTCGCCCGCCTAAGCCAGAGGTCAAGGTCCACAATCGAAGCGGGAGAAGCTCCCAGCGAAAATCTCCTGGTGGAGAACAGCCGCAGTCTTGAAGTCTAAAAGAGGGACCCATCATGATGAAGAATCGTTGATCTGAGGAATGATTTGTAGCTTAACAGCCATAAAAATCGAATCGTCCCTGTTCGCTGCTCTGATGTCCCCTTCCGGAACTCGAGATTGAACGCCAGCAGCGATTGCAGGAATGAGTTGATTATGATCCATCATACCTCCGGTCGAAAGTGGCAAGGATACGCAGCGCCGAACCACGGGTTACGCCTGGAAAATGTGGTATTACTCGACCCTCCGAAATCACAATTTCCAAGGCGTAATCAAGCTGTTAGGGGTGGCACACTGGCATGGATGGAACAAGGTGCGTGGCCTCCTCGACTTGCCAATTGGCCGGATTTCCTGCCACTCCCCGAAACGCAAAAGTACCACGCTTGCGGCCTGCAGTCTAGAAGCTCCATGCAGCCGGTATATACCTGAGGCGTTCAATCAATGGTCGGAGCCCTGCCGGTGGTGTGTGTCTTCGCGCTGAACATCACTTGTCCTTAGGCGTGGGATTTTCATTGCCAGGAGACATGGAGGGTAGCCTGAGTGATCTGAACGCCGAACCTGTAATCTCAGGATGTCTCAGGAGGCACGCACACACCCATACCCTGCTTCGCGAGCCCGTCCATCGCAGCTTACGCAAGTCCGAAATAATACCTAGTTCGCAAAAGCAAACCGAGCGCATGATATGAGTAATAGATGCAGGCTCAGCCGTTGAGTCGTTGCTTGTGACACCACCGTTAGACTAACTCCTGTCACTTCTTGATAGAGACCGTAGGAAGTGATTAATAGACAAAGATACAAAACAATGGGTAGCATAGTGCTATGGCTGCATGGGAGTTGTAGCCCGCGGCAAGAGACACTTGAAGATGTGAACCACTATCGACTCTAAAGAAAGGTACCTGACTGCTGCGGACAACCCGCAGTTGATATAAATACCGGTAATGGGGAAGTGCAGGATGGAAGGCCCCATAAGGATCCCCATCGGATGTCACACATTATGGAGTATTGATGGAGTATATACTTCTAAAATCGAGATTGACAGCCGTGGAGTAGAGTGGGCAACTCTACCATTGTTCCCAGCCGTGAAGCTCAGGTCCAAGCCAGGATGCCACTCCACTTCGAACAAAGATATCGCATTGATAAGGTTTCCTGCCCCTACCTAACTCATGTGGGATTGTGGATGTGCCATGAGGACTGAGCGCCCCAAGGAGCCAATATCGAGCAAGCGGGCCTGTCAACTGCGGAGAAGGGATGCAGAACTCCATCCGCCTCATGACATCAAGCATACTACAAAGTAGTACTCCGTAGAAGAACCCTTCTATCTCCAACATGATGAGAGATCCCAGAGTTCGTCGAGAGACTTTGCTGCACCCAGGCCAATATGATGACTCAGTGATTTGTCCAAGCTCAAAAGGGCAGTCGAACGCGACCGGACGGAGCACTGCCTGCCTACTAACTAATTCCTACTAGTAGTAGTTCGAGTATGTACCGAAACAGGGACATTACTTACTGCTTTGTACCGGCGGTAGGCATGCATCTATGAAGTATGTAACTACAGGGATACTTACGAGATTCACTAAGCTTTCGAGACCAAAGCTCCGGCTTTACGCTTTGTCGGAAGCTCAATCTTACGGCGGGCATGCAGTCTTAGACCTCCCGCCCCTCCATGACTTCCCACCCCCTCATCACCAGGAGAACTGATTTGCTATGTTGCTGCTGTATCTACATAGTACCTGCTACTCTTCTTTGATCCTTCCACCCGGTCTGGTGCCTTGGTAGTCCTCTTAAGTCTTGAAGTTCGGCCCTGGCCCTTCTTCTCCCGGGGTGTTCAAAACCAACAGGTGTAAAATTACGGTCTTCGTTGCGATGGGTTGTAACGATCGAGACGCGGACATCGAACTGTCCGACTCCGTTCTGGATAGTTCAGAATATTCCTTCCTCGACCATATTCTCATAACTACGTAGGCACATAAAATAGAATTAACTCTTCGTTATGCTTGACGCTTGGCCTAGAACAGTTCATGCGTTTCTCCGCTTGCGTCCGCGCAGTCTCTGGTGCGATGTGATTGGTAGGCTTTCAGGCCGGTAACAACATGTTCCTGCCAGGTATCTTTCCCGTGGCTGTCCGCGGCGAGGATACGATCGAGTACATCGGGGTCTGTCTTTCGGTACACGCCCGATGTGTCTCCCATCCAAACCAATCTGTGACACAGAGGAAGCCTGACCAAGAAATCCGAATAATTAAAACACATTATGCGATGGACGAACTAGCCAACCAGCATCGTCGATCGAAATAGCGCCTTCAACAATTTTCCCCTGCTTGCCGCTGGTGCCAACCAAAATCGACTTGTTGCTCTGCTGAGGGCTTTCCTTACCCTTCCGGTGTCTACATTTCGGAAAAGACTCTGATTGTTGAGCCGATCTTGCCGTCTCTTGGGCGGCAGAAAGTTTACAGAACCGTTCCTCTTCTCGTGGTTTAGAATTCCCAGTGCCTTTGGCACTGCTGAAGTCTACCGAAGCACGCAGATCTTGGTTAACGTTTTCAACATCGTTGTACCCAAAAAGTAAAGCGACCAGGAGGAAACACAAAAGTAGGATAGTCTAGTTTGCAGAGAAAATGCAGACCTTGTTCGGCTCTTGACTGGGTTTCGGAAACCGGACGAGGCACGAATCAGGTCAACGGCAACCAGTAACCGTCCCAAACGTTGGGTGCTGACTGAGTAGAAAACGATGCTAATAAAATCATAAAAATAACTAATATTTTCCGTTGTAAATTTTTTTTTTAATAGCATTTTCCCTTTTTTTCCATATTTTCTTTTTTTTACTTACATTTTTTTTTTCTCTTCATCCTTTACGGTTGTCGCCTCCCAGAGTTACGATCGTCACCGCCAATCCCCAGTTAACCTTCAATTAGTCGTGATTTCTTTCCCTCTTCCACTTTTTTCCTTCTTTGCCTTTAGTAGTAGGTTAGTGTGTCAGTTTTCGCTCTTCCGATACTGACGATTTTTTTTTTTCCCCTAACATTTTTTTTTTTTTTTTCCTCCTTCACCCACTTAACTTTGTGCCGCCGCCGCCGTTCGTCGCCCCCCCTTCCACCCCCCCCTCCTCCCTCCCTCCATTCCCGTGACTACCCTAGGGACGGCTACCTTGGGTGTTCCCTCTTGGAACAAATTTTCCTAAGCTTTTTTTATTTTATTCTATTTTATTTTATCATTCTTTTTCGTTTTCTTTTTTTGCCCTCTTGTTCTACCCTCCCCCCCTTACTTTTCACTCTTCCTTCGCCCTGTCTCCGCATCTATACGCGTTGTCCCTGGCAGTTGTGATCTTCCCATCAGAGTCATCCTGGTCAATTTCGCGCGCATTGTTGACGCGAAGCAAAAATTGGCTAGCGAAATTTCCCTCTAGCACTGCTGATTGTGTTAGACCCACTTACACGCCGCCTCCCTGGTGGATCAGAACCATTGACTGTTTTGACAACGTGCGGATAGTGAGAAGTTCCCACACAATTCGAGTTTCTGGTGGGTGACCGTGGGGAATTCAGATTAAGCATCTCGACCTCTTTCCTGACCTCTTTTCTGCAGTGGAGTCGAACTTGATCCTGCACGTCTATCGTCGACCTTGAGGATCCTTGAGCGTCGATTTGCTTATCGAACCTACCTCTTCCGCGAATCTCATCGTCAATTCTCCGCATCAGGTGGGAGGATTGTTCATTTGTCGGAACAAGCAAAGGAAAAAAAGGAACCAGAAGTCACAATCGAAGAGAAGCGAGCACACAACTCCGGACTGGAGAATTTTGCGAGCGAAACGCGATCAGGATTTGAACAAGGTGGCATTGGCAGTCTTTTCGCATCCACGGAGCACTGCCTTGGTCGCAAGACACATCCTACGAAAAGGTTTTCTCGCCCTGCGATCAATGATCGAGATATCGTGAAATCTCCTTTCGCCAGTCTCTTACCCCAATTCTCTTCTCCTCCCTCCTTCCCCTCCTTCCGTGTTTGAAAGCCTCTCCGCGTTCAAGATGGATCCCAGATCTCATCCTTCACGGCCCCCATCCACCAGCCTACCCCAGGGCTCCACGCCTTTGTCCTCGACACCCATCTCGAGCATGCCCATGCCTCAGTACACCATGCAGCCTCAATACCCTGTGTCCCAGCCGCATACTCTCCCCCCACTGCAGCCTCATCACAGTCAATCCCCTGCCCCTCACTCCTACATGGGCCAGCCGTACCGGCCGGATCTGTCGAGGTATCCCGCATCTACTCACGATGTCTACGCGTCTTCCGCGGCTCCTATCATGCCTCACACCACCGTGGGTAGCCTGCCTCCCTCGTCGTTCCTGTCCCACCCCAATCCGCAGGCTCAACCCCAGCCGTCGCAAGCCTACCCTCCGCCTCATAGCGTGCTGCCTCCCGCGTCCAGCGCGCAGACCTATCCCCAGCCGATTGCGCCGGCGCCTCCGCGTGACCGTCGCTCGGACTTCTCCGGCCTTCCGTCTGGTGCTTTCAGCTACTCCGATAACAAGGGATCGCCATGGATGAACCCCGACCCTGTTGCAGGTGCAAACGGTGCTCCCCCGTATGCTGCGAAGGAACCACCTAGGACACAGGTTGTTGGGTCGCAGGGCCGCCGCGGAATTTTGCCGAGCGTTCCGGGACGCGCGACTCCCGTCACGAACGGTGTCAATGGTACCGCGAAGAACACTACTATTCCGGCCAAGGATGCGGATGGAAAATTCCCTTGCCCGCACTGTAACAAGACTTATCTTCATGCGAAGCATCTGAAGCGCCATTTGCTCAGACGTGAGTGCCCCTCTTTCCATTTGTATAATATGATAGCGCATGACGGGGATCGAATTGTTCCGATGACTAATCTATGTTTTTCTTCGGTAGACACTGGAGACCGTCCGTACATGTGTGTGCTCTGCAAGGATACCTTCTCTCGCAGTGATATCCTCAAGCGCCACTTCCAGAAGTGCTCGTTGCGCCGCGGTAACCCTACTGGGGCGACTCACCTGTCGCACCCTCAGGCACACTTGAAGCGGTCTCAAGCTGCGCAAAACGCCGTTAAACCCGTTCAGGATGAAGTCAATACGACCGTCCCGCATCCCAACGGTATGCCGGGTGCTACGTATGGCGAGGCGCCCGTGAACGGCAATGGCATGGCTCCCGGTCGCCCCGGATATCCGGAACAGCAGCCTTTGGGATTCTCCATGCCTTCCGTCAATGGGATGAACCGCGGTCAGCACGAAGACGCGTTCCCCGGCGGACAGCCTCACCAGCGTGGACCTTGGCTTGCTGCTCCCAAGCAGAACCCATACATGGTGCAGCCTGGCGCAGATGCAAATGGCCAGCAGCTGAATGTTGATCGTCCTCCTATTGAGCAGGTAAAGCCCCCGGTTGTTCAAGACCCTAAACGTCCTGTCATGCCTGGACCTCCCAATCACGCTGGCGAAATTGACTGGACTTCGATGTTTCAGCCCGGAGCGTCCGACGGTTACATCAATCCCGTCTTCCCCCAGACCATGGCGTCCGGCCAGGAGCCTATCCACGCTCACGTCGATACCGAACGCAAGTTTTACCCCACCACCACCGCTGGTCCCCAGGAGGGTGGGATGAACGGTCTCTACCTGGCTTCGACCACGTTGAGTGGCGACGGTAAGTGAAGGAGTCCCGGAACTCAACTCCTGCCCCTGCATATGGATGACGGCATGCTAATTCCCGGATCCCAGGTACTGTCCAGCCTGCTAGGCAATAGTGGTGACTTGGAAGTGGATGTCTTGTGCTGACCACGTTGAGCTTGATGTGTATAACGTCAAGGGATACGGAGCACTGCGGCCATAACGAACGGTTACAAATTGTCTTACTAACTGGGTTACGTTGTCAAACGATGTTATGCATCAGTCTAGCGATGTCTTGCAATGCTAGTCATTTGTCTGGGAGTATCTATGGGGACGCTTCTCCGATCATGCTGATGATGCTCTTACACAAGGGTTTACATGCTATGCGGTTTGGCGCCTTATCAGTCTCCTAGATCATGCGCATGAATCCAGCCTGGAAAGCCACATGAATGATTATCGAGGGTTATCCCTATAAAAGAAAAAAATATGAACTGGAAAATGGAAGGGAAGAAAAAAAATACAGATAGAAAAAAGCTCGTTTCGGCCACCGACTCCGCGCAGCGCGCCACAGCGTTGGTCTAGATTACAGCATCCGGATTACTCATTGTTATGAAAACGTCTTCTTTTGTCCTACTGGGTTATCTGGTCGTCCATTGTTTATTTGAAAAATCTTGTGAGCATTTTCTACGGCGAGTGCAGATTTGCGGTGATTCTGGACCTGTTTTGTTTTGTTTCCATCCATTATGAGTGGGTTGATGGGATGGTGTGTGTGGTTTTTTAACTGGCGTCCAATCATAGACTTGGGCATGTGTTTGATTTTTGTTGCGTCAAGGGCTCTCTCATCTTAACGAGTCATCAAAAGATTTTTTGCTGGGAAGGCTTCCGTCCACTCTTCGTTTCGCGTTGCATGTTCCCCTTTCCTGTTCAAATTCGAGCTGCACGGAGGGTTGAGTGTGTTCGGGATTTGTTTGCATAACCGTCACGGCCGTTTCCTATCCGCATGTTGTCTTCCAGTCGACCATGTAAGTACATACTGTGTGTCCGATGGAGGGCATACGAGGTCGAGCTAGGATGAAAGGTGTTGCGTCGTCTTGTGTTTACTATTTGCCTCCTGCGTTCCTATCCAATGTGTTTTTTGTGTCAATGTGCTTCGGTTTCCTTTCGTGTCTCATGCTTTATTCTTTTTTTTCTGTTTCTTTTCATCTCTTTCATTTGTGACCGAAAAAGGTAGCATGGTGCTTTTCGACTGCCCGATTTCCTACATTTTCGCGGCTGGGTTGCCTGCAGATCCTGGCCGCAGTCAGGGAGACTCCTGCTGTGTTGGAGCTTGTTTCATTCTTTTTTGTTACTCCGGACGGCGGTTGGTTGATCTGCCTGGATGCACACCCCTGGTCAGCCCCCAGATGTTCCATACGTCGGTTATGTACTTGTTCTATCCATGATGCCGCATGCATTTTCTTCTTGTATCTGGTCCTGGAGTCTGGAGGCCAGGGAGGCCGATTGAAAAACCCCCTGCATCAGGCCTGGTGGAAGTCGTCACTTATGGGAAGCCACGGGAATCCAAAAGCTAGAATATAGACAGCCAGTGATTCGGAGTTGAACGAGAAATAATAAGGGCCATATTTACATGACTTACAAATTAACCTGGGTGGGGGTGTAGTAGAGAAATAGCAGAGTACTACAAAGTACAGAGTAACTACCTAAGTAGTACTAAGGTACTAACTAACTAACTAACTAGCTAGCTAAGTAGCTAATGAGAGAGCCTCACGGGATCGGAAGGGGACAGGCCATGTGAACACCCCGTGACTGCCTGGAACTTGACTTTCCCGACCGAACAAGCCAACCTTTGGTCCGGAGCGGAGATGTCTGGAGAAGATCCCGGGATTTCCCTACGGTGAGCGCTGGATGGTTAGTGCGATCGGGTAACTCTTGTTGCAGGTGATTCGATTCTTGTTTTTTCTTTGGGGGTTTCGCATGTGCCAAAGTGTAGTAGGCCGATACTTTACTTGGGGAGAGAAAGAGAGAGTGGGGGGTAGATTGATAGAGCAGAAAGACATAGTAGCAAGCATGAGAAATAAGAGACTACTTAAGATTCCAAGTGATGAATGATTATTTCATCCCCTCCATTACCAGTAGATATAATTAACAAACTGATAGTCTACAGTACTTAATTAATAGACGTCACCGCCGAGGGGCTCCCCCGGATTGATATCCACCCCCGCTGATTGGCCGCCGCCCACGGGACTCCCCGGAGGTCCTCCAGTTTCAACTTCTGAATCTCCTCCTCCGCCGTTTCTCTCGTCATCGTCCACCTCCTCCTCCATCCTTCTGGCTCCGATCATCCGTCCCCTCCTGCAGTCTCCTTCTGGTCCTGTCTGTGCTCGTGTACTCGTGTACTCGTGTACTCAGTCGTTCTCCTCCATCCACACTCTCCTCTCAGACCCCCGTCTAGATCTCGTCTACTCCGCAACTCCGCGGCTACTATCGCCCCGATCTCGACCGACGACCACCGATACCAACTCTATATACAAGACGCACAATCCCCTCACCTCACCACTTCTCACAACCAGCAACCCATACCTTCTACACCAATATTAGCAAACACACCTGCAACCGACTACAGGCCCTAGTCCTATTCGACTAGCGTACCCCTGTCAGTCCAAACTCACTCACTCCATCTCTATACTCTCACCGTGGCTCCCCCCCTCGCCACCATGTCCACCAACCGGCCATTCCTGGCCAACTTCCTAGCGGCCTTTCGCGCCCAGTCCACATACAAAGCCTCAGCAGCAGGTTCACAATCCGCGACCGCTGGTCCATCCTCCTCTCTCTCCTCCACCCAAATCTCCCAAGGCGCACGAGCCATAGCCACCAAGGCCAGCAGCGGCAACGCAGCCGCTTCCTCATCAGATGCCTCTCCATCCACCACCACTCATCACTACCACCATCATTCCACCACAAGCGCTTCATCCTCCTCTCACTCCCGTCCTCACTCGCACCAGCGATCTCCATTGAACCAACCCGAATCTTCTCCAGCATCCCCGGCCCCACCTCAGACCCAGCAGGCCGCTTCTTCTCCACCCACCCCGGCCGCATCAAACCCCATCCCGATCACAAACAGCCAAGGCCGCCAGCGTCGCGGCAGCGACAGCTCCAGTGGCTCGGGAGGGTTCCGCGATGCGCTGGGTCCGGAGAAGTGGTATATCGGAGGTCGAACGCCTGGCGGGGAGGAGCGGTTCTACCGTTTAGGGATGGTGACGAAGGGCGGAGGTCGACTCGGTGGGAGCGGTAGAGTGGGAAGCATTGATCAGCTAAGTCTGTGATTGATTGATTGATTTATTGATTCATGGTGTTTGGGGATATGAGCGTTATGGTGGAGTTTCTTTCCTTCATTTTTCTCTATTACAATTTCACCCCCCCCCCCCATGATTAGGGGTTATTGGCGTCCAAGTAGGGCATTGGATGGCGTTATACCTTCCTTTCCTTTTATTTCCTCCTTTTTTTTCTTCTATCCCTCTGGTGAATGGAATACAGACAAAAAACGTACCGCTTTTAACTTCCTTCGGGTTTTCGATTCTCTTATTATATGATTGATCCATTCCCTTCTGGTGTTGATATGGATTCTTCTTTCTCCGCTCCGCGATGCTATGCTATGCTATGCTATGCTACGCTACATCCACACCGGTGTGTATCTGGATTGAGTTTGAACTGTACATGAAGACAATCCTTGTGCTGTGTGATGCTCGTCTTATGTCTTTCGATAAAAGGTGCAGTTGGTATGATTTGAGAGAAGATGGATGGATGAAATGAATGTTAGATCTGATCTGAAATCCGAATGTACCAATCAGCATATGACCGACCTATGTTAGTTAGGTTTCCTACTAAAAGCAAACTTTCAACTTTACATTTGTACTCGTCATCCAAGATCCAATTCAATCTATCATCCTAATCACCTACTCAGTCCCCAGCAAGCAACCTCTCCCTCTCTCCATCATCACCATCCTCATCCCCATCCCCAAACCTACTACCACCACAACAAGCATCCCCCCTCAACCCAACCCCCACCACCACCCCCGTCACCGCACAAACCACCCCTAACCCCACAACCACAACCCCCCACCCAAACCTCCCCTCCACGAACCCAGCCAACGGCCCCAAACTCAGTCCTAGGAACTGCGCCATCGTCTGGATCCCAAACGCCTGGGCGACTGCGCCCCTGGGCCCGAAGATCCCCGGCTCCCGGCGCTCCATGGTATCCAACACACGCTGGGTCTCGAGGTACAGGGCCGGGGTGGCGATGTTGACGAGGAGGCCGGTCAGGGTGAGGTTTATCATTAGGAGGGTGATATGGGTGCTTGTGGGGTTGGTGGAGAGCGCGAGCATGCTGAGTGGGATGGGGAGGAGGAGGAAGGTTGTTGTTGCGATGGGGTGTGGGGTTATGGTGTCGGTTAGTTTTCCTGTTGGTTATAGAGGGATAGGGTTAGTGAGGTGGGTGGTCTGGGGGGAGGGGAATGGGGGAGGGGTGTACCGAAGTAGGGCTCGAAGAGAGCGGTCATGGAGGAGGGGAGGAAGGTTAGGCCTGCGCCTAGGGGCGTCCAGTTGAAGTGGGATTCTACGAAGATGGGGATTGTCTGTTATTTTTTAGTGGGTGAGTGGGTTGTTAGTTTGTGGTGTATGGATGGGGAAGTGGGGGGAGGGACGTACGGCGTCAAAGGCTGCGTATATCATGCCGTGGACGAGGAGACCCCAGGATGATATGAGGATGCGGGGCTGTTGGATGAGGAGTAGGAGGGTGAGCTTGCGGGAGTGTTTGGGTATGATGGTTGCTTCGTTCTCTGTGGTTTCGGGTTGAGGTGTGCTTGACTCAAAGGGACTGTCGTGGTTGTTGGTTTCGTTGTCGTTGTCGGCGTCATCTTGCGATAAAGCCATCCACCGCTTCGCGACCCTTTTTTCGATCACTGCAAACCGCATTACCAGGTCTAGTCCTACAATGGCAAACGCCATTGCAAATACGGGCTGATATCCTGCTACTCTGTACACCAGACCCCCCAGTAATGGACCTAGCAGGAACCCTAGGGTAACCGCTGACCCTAGGTATCCGACAGTCTGGCCGAGGTTCTCGAACGGGACGGAGTCGGTGAGGAGGGCGAGTCCAGCGACGACAACCATTGCGGTTGCGCTGCCTTGTAGGAGGCGTGCGATGACGAAGAAGCCGATGGTGCGTGCGAGACAGAGGATGAGCATAGATGCCCCGAGCAGAATGAGGCCGAGCAGGTAGGGGAGTTTGCGCGTGGGCGCGACATCGATCAAGTATCCGAAGATCGGGCAGCAGATGAATGCGACGGTGGCTTCGCAGATGAGGAGAATGCTGACCCAGCGTTCGCCTGGTTTTGTATCAGATGGTATAGAGTAGGGTGGGTGTGGTGGTGGACGTACGGTCTTCATAGGGAATTTTCGCGCGGTCGACTAGGGCTGTTGGCATGACGGGAACGATCTAGAGAGTTAATTGGCGATATAGATGTGAGTATGGATGATGCTCACCATGGCATAGAGGAAGTAGTCCTGCCGGTGTCAGCTATTGTGTCTCTGGTAGAGTGATTGTCTGCATACCGTGAACGAAGAGGTCCAGACTGTCGCAATGATGAAGGCTGTGGAGGAACGGTACTTGAGAAGCCATGGCGGGCGCTCTCTACCTTCACTTGTAAACCACATGGTATTCTCAGGCTCGTCGATTTGATGTCCTGGTCTCAGCACGATTCAGCCGGATAGCTCTCATTGCTGAACCGTTGGACAATAGGCCGGGCCCGCGGTATCGGACAGGTCCGTAGCAGAGCAATTGAAGGTCAGTCGAGGGTCGAAACGGGATATGCTATATTGAGAAACTCAGCAGATCCCGGCATTTCTTGCAATGATGGCAGACACCATCTTGAGTCTGGGGATTCATTGTTTGTTGAGTCGCGACATTCTTTCGAGTGGATGACGTCTGGGCAGTCACATGTCCGATACTTCCTCTACATTTTGTAGGGTTTCTTGGTAGTCTGGCTGTCATTCTTGCTCTTTCATGTAACCGCTGACGGCAGCACAGATGAATCCATCCCAATCAAACCACTTTGGTTACATTACATTCATTCTAGCCAAACAAATCTCCGGCAACCACAGCCGGGATTGCCTGATGTTTGCATAACCCCAGAGGTTACGAATCCCGGGGCGATAAGATAAAGCGAGGGAGGCTGCGGCCGTCAAGTCCCGCGGGCTTCGGAGGTGGCCGATACGCTGCCATCTCCCCATCCCGACTGCTCCCTGGCTCCGGAGAAGTCTTAAAAAGCTTCATCCTGCTGCCACAGGGGTTGTTGCAGTTGAAATTCCCAGTTCCGTGTTTATTGTCAATACCCCCTCTTTGGTTGCTCATCTTCCTCTCCTCCCTACCCCATACCCACCATGTCTTCCCCAGTTGCTGCGGCCCGCTACGGCAAGGACAATGTCCGAGTATACAAGGTCCACCGCGATGAGAAGACCGGCGTCCAGACGGTCGTGGAGATGACCGTCTGCGTCCTTTTGGAGGGTGACATCGATACCTCGTATGTATTTTCCTTCTTCAAATCGAAATCAGAGCTAACCCTCATTTCCTACAGCTACACCAAGGCCGACAACAGCGTGATTGTCGCAACCGACTCCATCAAGAACACCATCTACATCACCGCCAAGCAAAACCCCGTCACTCCCCCCGAGCTCTTCGGCTCCATTCTTGGATCCCACTTCATCACCAAGTACAACCACATCCACGCCGCCCATGTCAACATCATTACCCACCGTTGGACCCGAATGACCATCGACGGCAAGCCGCACCCGCACTCCTTCCTCCGGGATGGCGAGGAAACCCGCAACGTGCAGGTCGATGTCGTCGAGGGCAAGGGCGTGGACATCACTTCGTCTCTGGCCAAGTTGACCGTGCTGAAGAGCACCAACTCGCAGTTCTGGGGCTTCCTGCGCGACGAGTACACCACCCTCCCTGAGACATGGGACCGTATTCTCAGCACCGACGTCGACGCCAGCTGGCAGTGGCGCCGCTTCAACGGGCTGGACGAGGTGCGCGCTACTGTGCCTCAGTTCGATGCGACCTGGTCGGCGGCCAGGGATATTACCCTGAAGACCTTTGCCGAGGACAACTCGGCCAGTGTCCAGAACACTATGTACAAAATGGCGGAGCTGATCTTGGCTCGTCAGCCCTTGCTTGAGACGGTCGAGTACTCTCTGCCTAACAAGCACTACTTTGAAGTTGGTATGTATTTCATCTTTTTGATAGACTCGTTCGTCTTGAATCCCGGCTAATCCGTTGTTTGTCACAGACCTGAGCTGGCACAAGGGCCTGAAGAACACCGGCAAGGACGCCGAGGTGTATGCGCCGCAGACCAACCCGAACGGGCTGATCAAGTGCACGGTTGGTCGCAACACGAAGGCGAAGCTGTAGGATGATTTGTAGTATTGCATTAGCAGTTATGAGATGGAGTTCGGGCACTTGTATATAGGTTAGGGATAAATAGCATCATTCACATGTTCTGATACATCATGATCAATGCACAAGCTGTTGTAATTGTGTAGCGTAGCTAGTAGTAATATAAACAAGATATGTCACATAAAAGATAGAAAGAGAATCAAATCACAGAACTCCCACCCATGCGCTAGCAAGTCATAACATGACAACAGCAATATCAATGACATATGTAAAAGTACAAGAGGTTTAAATGGTGAAATGGTATCCGATCCAGCAAGTCGACAAGATGCGCAGACAATACAATGCAATTACGCATCGGTCTTGGCCGTCTTAAACGCCTCCTTCACCTCGGGCAAGTTTCCGATGACCGACTGTCCGTTAAGCTTGACGATGTTCTCCTTGTAGGGGTGGGCGAGACCTTCGAAAGCTATACAAGAATACCATTAGCATACATCCTCAAACGACATACCATATACCAGTCTAGCCCCAAGGTAGAGGCAACAGATATATATATCCAATTGATATCGATATCAGAGGTATACTCACTCTTCAGCCTAGCCAAGCGCTTATCCCGCAAGCGGTTCTTGGGCAACATGCCGCGAACAGCACGACGGAGGACCTCACCACCGCCCCATTTCTCAAACATCTTGTCCATAGTCATGCTCCGCAGACTACCGGGGCGGGTGTTGTGAGTGTAGTACTTCTTCTGGAAGCGCTTCTTGCCGGTGACGCGGAGGTCGTGGCATCCGACGGCGACGACATAGTCACCGCAGTCGGTGGAGGGGTCGTAGACGGGCTTGTTCTTGCCCATAAGAGTGAGGGCAATGGAGGAGGCAAGTCTACCCAGACTGCGAGGGTCATTGCCGACGTCGACGTAGTGCCATGTTCGGGAGAAGGCGAGACGGGTCTATAGCATTATATTGATATCAAAGTTAGACAATGAGCATAAACAGATAGATATAGAGAGGGAGGGAGAAGGGGACAATAATATGCAGTTGAGAGAATAGTGGGGGAAGAGAATAATGGGATATACCTTTCCAACAGTCTGCGACATCTTGACGTAAAGTGAATAGCTATAGCTATATGCCTCTTACTTCAATCTATACCTACAACAACCTGAGCACTGCCTCTATCCCGGGAGTCCGAACTTTCCCCATCACGTGATGCAATCCAACTGCCCCCGACAAGCCCTACCTCAAGGTCCCAAAGCGGCCTAGCGCAGCGCACTAAGCGAGAGACCAAGAATTGGACAGTCAGCAAAACCACAAGCCCCAAAGAAGAAATCGCACCGCCTGACTGTGCGAAGCGAAAATTAATACAGCGCGACTCCGTTAATCGACGACAAATACTCCACGACCCCGACACCGTCTACCTTACTTCCCACCACCCAGCACACTTCGCCGCCTCCCCATCATGGCTTCCGTCCCGAGTGTGCAATGCTTCGGCAAGAAGAAGACGGGTGAGTTTTCCTCTTGTTTTTGATATATAAATGGATTGGGTGGAATTTGAAGATTGGGGAGGGTTCAGGATGTTGGGATGATTTGTTGAAGGTAGCATGGGATGCTAACGGTTGATGTGATTTTTAGCCACCGCTGTCGCCCACTGCAAGGTATGAGAATAACGTTCTCTGTCTATCTGTCACCTCCCTGCTGGTCTAGGATTTATCGTGTTTGCGGATGCCGATGTGTCGTTCGATATTGGTCAATACTTGGGTTTGGAAGGTTGAAGGAAGCTTGGGTATCTATTCGACATTAAGGGTTAAGGAACATGGAATGCATGGAAACGCGAGGGATGCGATATCGAGTATCGAAGAAGATAATTGAACGACACGAATATGCAAATTTGAAGGAAGACGAATACCAAAAGGGAAAAAGAGGAAGAAGACATGCGCAACCAAACTCGAACGACACATCTGCATCCGCATCGCAATATATCAGATGAACCAAAACCGCGACAGAAGGAAGAAGAACAAGAGCGTCAAGACTGATTCGTTTCTTCCAACTACAGCAAGGCAAGGGCATGATCCGGGTCAACGGCCAGCCCCTCTCTCTGGTCCAGCCTGAGATCCTCCGCTTCAAGGTACATACTCACCTGTCGGGATTTCTTCTACGAAGTGGCAATGGCGGATCGAATTAACACGCGAAATTGGAATAGGTCTACGAGCCCCTCCTGATCGTTGGAGCCGACAAGTTCGCCGGTGTCGACATCCGTGTCCGTGTCTCCGGTGGTGGTCACACCTCCCAGGTTTACGCCATCCGTCAGGCCATCGCCAAGTCCATCGTCGCCTACTACCAGAAGTACGTCGATGAGCACTCCAAGAACCAGCTGAAGCAGGCTCTTGTCCAGTACGACCGCACACTCCTCGTCGCCGACAACCGTCGTACGGAGCCCAAGAAGTTCGGTGGTCGTGGTGCCCGCGCTCGCTACCAGAAGTCCTACCGTTAAACGGCTTCATTATTACATCAACAATATACACACATACAAGCTTGCTCCGCCTCTGCCTGTTTTTCTGTTCTCATTCCTTTTTGTTTCCTGTTCCGTTCCGTTTTCGAAAGAAAGGAATTTAAACCATGGAATTTGGGGACAAAAACCTTACTTTCCCGGCTGTTATGCTTCCCCCCACCTTTTACGGTTCGAGTTTTTGCTTGCTTGGCTCGGATCGGTTTTAAAAAAAAAGTTTTCCTATAACGTTTCCCCTCTTATGATTATGGCCGGGTTATGAAGGGTTTTGTTTGTGTGAGGCAGAAAACGGGATATCATGCGGGATGGTGTTATTGTTGCTGTTTGTCGTTTTAACGGTTGTACTTATTGGGGTGAGGGAGAGAAGAAGAGAGAGATCTGGTGTGGTGGTCCCATTCCACCACTGCAGACAATTCAATCAAATAAAGAGGATGGTTTGGGTTGTTTACAGTGGCTGTGTTTGGAAATTATGGTGCAATGCTGGCCCCGGTCTTAGGCTGTTATTTAGTATAAGCCTGGACTATCTTAAATATCACCCAATTTCTTTTTCTGTCGTCAGCCCTGTCACTATAAAAGGTTGTATTGGACGTCCGTGCGTTGTATTAGCATACAAACGCACGTTCTCTTAACGGATAAACCGTTTTAGATGACTGATATACGCTGGCTATGGTAAGTAATAGCATCTGGCAATCAGTCTGGCCATCCCCCTCGTAGATCACCCGCCATCTCGATTCATTCTCACCCCACTCGCCGTCGCCTATCCGCCATCTTCGCCCGTCCAGCCTGATCGATCATTCCGTTCCGTTAAACCAGATCCCTTCCACGCAACGTACTACCCTACTAGTACCAGTTCCCCCAGATTTGATGACTGGTTTCGCCTAAAGGGAATGTGCTGCTCGACTATTTGGTAGCACAGCACTTCAAAGAAAGTACAAAGGAAAAAAAGAGACGAGAGGTGACAACTCAGGCGGTAACGCTATTATCAGCCCATCGCATTCCATTGTTCATCCTTCCCAGTCCGTCATGGCTCGTATGGTCGTCCTCATCGTCGGCTCCATCCAGGGACAGAAGTTGAAAACGATTGGGCACGGAGCCGGTTTTCTTTGCCGGTGCTTGTGGTTCTTTCTTAAGGTGCTTCCCCGGGGTACCTAAACACTCGTCCGGATAGAACCCAATTTTCATGCCCTTGTACGTGAACCGAGACATCATGCAGGAGCGTGCAAAGAGCGCATTATGCACTGAATTGGTGGAGATGTAGGCATTGCCATTCTTGAATTGTACCGAGATCACGATTAGGTTGTGGATATGGTCCAGATCCTTCCGGATGACCCACTCCGTGACGTTCGGCTGTACATTGTAGACGACTAGATTGCGCGATGCTCCATTGTCAATTTTGGCCCGGACATAGGGAGGAAGGTAGAACTGTCTGTCATTCCAACCCACTTCCACCTATAGTATCTATTAGCGGTGCTACCGTTTGCCGAATTGGGCACTTACGCGCTTCCCAGCAACAATGAGACCGTAGGTCTTCGCAGTCCGGAAGAATTCACGAGCGGCCGCTTCCTCGACAAAAGACACACTGGCCATGTGTTCCCGCGTACGTAAATAGATGTGCAGCAGGGCTCCGCCCCTCATGGCTGCGACGATGTCTCTGTGCGTGATACGGTCGGGAAGATTCCGAATTAGCACGGTACGTTGGGCGCTTGGGGTAGGAGAAGATCCTCCACTTCTGGAAGACTCATCAAAGTCATCCTTGTCTTCGCTGTCATGGGAATCCAGGAGAGCGTCTTCGTCTTCGTCCTCATCTTCACCAACGTCGATTCCTTCAGGGTCATGGACTTTCACGTCTAAGTGTTCATGACAACCAGGAGCCTTGTTCTCGAACGCCGCATGCGGTTTCGCTGGGCTCTGAGAGCTATTTTCGCGGCTAGTTTGGTGAGAAGGCTGCTGAGCAGCCCCGTAAATTAAAACCTATATCTGTTAGTAAATGTACGCCAATCAGTGGGCGTGTTCTGACATAAAGAGTTTCCTGGGACAACCCTCCATTGAGGAGTGAGGTTCTTAATTTAGCTGGAGTGATAATGTCAGCTGCAGAGATATCAGGTATATGAGAGGCGGTCGCATACCAAAATGTTGCGAGTCTTGGAGCTGCGAAGTGTCACTGGTCAGTGAGGGGCCATTTTGGACCTGTCACATTGTACTCACCAGACGATCATATTCCGAGCGGGGGATGGTGACGGTTTCTGCGTTTGACGGGGTACTTCTATAGCTTGGAAGTTGCTGTATCATGGTGAAATCATCAGATCAGCTCGCATTGATGAGATTCTAAGCGAGCAGTTGAGGGGACTCACAGCATATGGTCTGTTTATAGAAACCAGTCAGTCGGACGAGTACATATCTCAGTGAGTATATAATGGAACTCGAGTATGAGGTACTCACCTTCGAGGTATATAGCTATTTGGATGGCCTGCGAATGAGGTCGACGAGGCCATAGTACGAGAATCTGGGGTGTGGGGTGATTTTAGTGAAGATCAGGCAATCCGCCAGCAGCTTGACAACTGCAAATTGAAGCCAAGCTTACCAGAAGAAGTAGACATTGAGCTGATACTAAAAAGAAGCTGTTAGTCCGAGCAGTCTTCACCTGGAAGATGCAGAAGAGAAGCTAAGTCCAGCGCAAGAGATGGTTGAAGGAACGAAGAGTAGAGAAGTACTAGTAGAGGGGAGAAGAAGAGAAAAGGGAAAGTTGATATCTCCAATCCCCAGTCGCTCCACATCCACTTTGCAAGAACGATGGATCACCCGACACTTTTATTCTTCCCTCTTTACTCACCCTCCTCTTTTCTTTCTCTTTCTTTTCTACAAGGGTCTTGGTTTGAAATCTCCCATATCTTCTCTTCCTGCTTCACCTTTCACTCTGCTGACGAACATAGTACATCATAGATACAGTCGGGATACACTCACCGTGGGCGCTCCACACACATGGTGATATTTCAAAGTGATAAAGAAGAAGACTGCAGATAAGATGCAACAGCGGATCAATTGCAGATGAAGAAAGGAAAGGCGAAGAGGAAGAGAAGGAAGGAAAACGACCGGGGGAGCTGGCAAGCCAACGCATCAGGACCAGCATGGCGAACCAGACTTCAATGGCGCCCGAACAGGCAAGCAACGAGGCACGCCATGGGAAAGGGCGATTAGGATTGCATGAGCTGCATCTGTTCCTTCGCCATCTTGCAACGTTTGGGTGGGTTTGGCGTCGCAAATCCCAAGTGCAGCGCTTGTGCGACCAACGGCCACCAACCACCAACCAGCGCAGCTCAGCGGCAAACGGGCGCAGCGACACTGCATTGCGCTGGACAAGTCAGAGCTTGGATACTGGCTCAGAGGCTCTCTACCCCTGCCAGTTAGGCAACATTGTTCTCTTATCAGGCGTCGCCATTACCCGTTCTCCACCATCTGCGGCACGCACGCAAGGCGCATTTCGCTCCTACTTTATGCATAGATAGCTACGGCTTGGTTCTTCCACTTCCACCACCAATGTGCTCGTTCGAAGTACATGCAGGGATTCCCAAAGAGTTAGTTGCCTGAAACCTTCCAATCCCTCCTATTACCCCTCTATCTGCACAAAGCTGTAAGTTCCCGTCGACTCTGTCATCGGTCGATCATAGGAGAAAAAGAATAGAAAAAAAAAATAAAGAAGCAAAGAAAGGATACCATGCCTGCATGGAGTCGCACCGGACTCTACGAGATGGGCGTTAAGCCCACCTATGCGATGCGATGGGTAGCTTCCGAGATTAGTGTGTCCCTGTGGCAACCAGTCACCAGCTAGGACGAGAATACTTATACTCCTCGTTCTGGAGGAGAAATTATGGCTGCCGCAGTCTAAGGCCGGGCGCCAACTAGTACAAGGACCAGTGAACGCTATCGCGTACTAACAGCGCCTTCGATACTTCAAGAATTAGCCGTACCTGGCGTGGATGAGTGGCGTCCCTCTTCCTCGTCGTGCATCTCTCTCGTCGTCCGCTGTTCATATCTATCAGCGTGGTTCTCGCCGTCTGGCTCGCCGAATTTGGACAACATTGATCGCCATTTGCGTCGCAAAGATAGCCAAGAATATCCCCATAACGAGAGTCTGTGGGATATAGCTTCCTCCTGAATCCTGACTCTGCGTCCGCTGCCGGCGATCAGGATCAACTGGACGAGGAGACCCAAATGAGATGGAGACAGACATGGAAAATGGCGTGAACGACGTAAAGACTCCCGCAGACGGGGCCAGGTATGTCAAAGCTGGGCTCAGAACCATTGGCACGAGGGAGAAGGCGAGGAGAGGGACGGCTAGTCATAAGACCGAGGCGAATGATGGTCGGGGCCGAGCCAACCTTGTCAAGAGAAAATGTGAGCGCCAGCCAGGAAGGATATGAAAGCAAAGCCCTGATGAAGGGGCCGATCATCTACCTACCACTCCCGAGACTCTGACTTCCTCACCCACCGCACAACCATCTTCAGTCTATCCCGGACACTGGTCGTCGCTAGAAGCTTGTACTTCTCATCCTCCCAGAGAGGCAGAACGCAGGCGAACCACCAGGGAAACACCGCCGGATCGGTAGGCGCCTCGCCATATGCTAGCAAGACTCGCGGATGGAGCCATGCTGCTCCTTCGCGACGGCTTTTGTCGATAAAATCCAAGGCGATCTGGAAAAGCTGTTGCGTGGGCAGAGACTCCGGTGGTGTTGACGCTGCTGATAGCGATTCCCCTGTTCCTGATGACGTTTCCAAAGACTCTAGCCTTTCCTCCTCAGATATCGCAATATCATCCACACGCTGAATCCTGCCAACATGATATCCATCCACCATCTCAAAGCTCATCACTTTGAAGCGCGACACCCCTGATGCAATCACCAAGCTTCTCCCATCGGGGAGTAGCTCGAACCGCTCCACCACCAGCACCGTACCATACTGCATGAATTGGGCCCTGCCCAAACCTTCCTGCAGCCGACCGGAGCGATTATACATAACCATACCAAATTTCTTATCCCTCGTCTGCATGACCCTATGGATCATAGTCCGATACCGCGGTTCAAATATATGCAAGAAAGTCGGCATAGTCGGGAACGAAAGCGAGCTCACGAACAAGGGAATAGTCCGTTCTCCATCCCCAGTAGCGGCCACTCCATCCTCATTAGAAGAACCCTCGCGACGCGACTCAACCTGCTCAGGGAACAAAGCTTCCACCAAGTCCGAAATCCTCCTATTAACGGGCTCAGCCCGCACCGTCGAAGCCATATTCAACTTGCGCCGACACAGCGGACACAAATCACTATGATTCAAAACCATAGCCACACATCCGCGACAAAACGTATGTCCACAAGAAGTCGTCAACGGATCCAATATAAGCGAGTAGCAGACCTGACAGTCTAATTCTCCCCGAACTGCCTCCTTCAATCTCTCGTAGGATAGTTGTTGCCCTTGTCCCTCCTCGAATGTAGTATTACCTTCCACCTCCAGCACATCCCCAAACCCAACACGACCCTGCTTAACCAACCCATACACACCCCCTAACAAATCCCCACACCCAATCCTAGCAACACACTTCTCTGTCCCTATGTCTGCCTCTGTCCCTTTCACCTCATCCTCACCCCCCAACCTCTTCCCCTCCCACCTCACATCACAAAACCTCGCACCATCATCACTACCCCCCTTCCCCAAAACCTCCTCAAACACATCCACCACCCTCCCCAACAAAACATCCGTCCCGCAATCCCCCAGACAATGTTCCCCCGAGCAGCTCGTCGCACCATC